AAAATATTGTTAATGGGTATTTTGGTGCACTCAATAGAATTGACGCATTTCAGTGCAGTCGAAAGGGTTGAATGATTTGGAATTTTAATTGATGCTGAATAGAAAATGACATTTCAAATTCTCTTAACCCAGTGGTTCTCAAACTATGTGCCGCGGCACATTAGTGTGCCGTGAAAGAATTACAGGTGTGCAGGGAAAACATTTAACTAGATAAGTGTTCCGTGGATCAAAAAAGTTTGAGAAACACTGTCTTTAATCAGAAGTTGCGTTTCAAAATATCCAATTTTGACAAGATGTAATAAGTTAATATGCAACCCAGATGTTAAGCTGCAGTTATTTTGTTTGTGATTTCTATCTTATGGTGAATTATGGTTCGAATCCTTTAAATGAATATCAAAATATCACCAAATTTCGAAACTTTTTAAGTGTGTAATAGGAGCCAAATTTACCAATGTGCCTTATCTCCTGCCAATTTAGTCAACCTTGTATGAATCCTTTTCATATCTTCAATCTGTAATAATTGAGAGATCAACATCTAGTGGGAACTGAAGCCACGTCTCTGTAAAAGAAGGAGAAAAAGTAAGTTTTCAGATTAAAACCTTGTTGCATAACAACTAGATTACTAAGGCCTTACTCGCACACTAACATATTCTCATACATAAAGCTTGTTCCCCTAGATTTCACTCAGTTTAGGCACCACATTAAATTTCTATAAGTTATTAGAATGATTATTGCTTAATTGTTAGACGCAAGTCTTATTAAGTAGACAAACTGTTCATCACTAAATCCTCCTACCTCACACTCTAAGACAAATCATGCTAAAATTGAGGATATTTTATTCAACATTTATTTTGTACACATATACACAAACACACAATCACTTTTCGTTTTTGGATAGTGAGAACGTGATAAGACTAACAAAGCAACTGAGATTTCTTAGCCGTACAGAAAGTGTCAAATAGACGAATGAAATTGACATGGATTTACTTTTCTGTCTAATTATTTTTCTCGTCACTTATCATGATTGTCTTATGGTTCTATTAATTTATTTGACTACAAATGGCTTTAATGGATGGAAAAATCAAGCCATTTGTGACATAAAAGTTGAAGCCACAAATCTTTCGCAATTTCTGTGGGCCAATAATAATTTTTTCATTATTCTTTTGTTTAATGAACGAGAAAAAAACAAATGATTTATGAAGATTTTTATTGCACAACGTTTGGTCACATAATTCAAACAATTTTTCTTTTCTCTTTTCAATTTTCCGCTTCAAATTTTTTGTGCTGCTTGCTTTTTATCGTTTTATTTCTATTCTGTGTTAAAAATCAATCTGAATTTTGGGGATTTTATTATGCTTGTGGAGATTTTTTGATTGAAAATTTTCACTGGTCTGTGAATGAATATGATGATTTAGATGAGGACTGTGAGTTTAGGTTCTCTAAGTTGTAATAAAGTTAAGCTAAGCTTCATCCTCTCGGTTCGAAATTAATTATCTCCTCTCGGATCGAGCTAAGTTAGATCCTCTCGGGTTGAGTTGCATTAGATCCTCTTGGGTCGAGTAAAGTTAAATCATCTTGTGTCGAGCAAAATCAGACCTTCTCAGACCGAACTTAGTTATATCCTCTCGGGTCGAGCAATTTTAGATCCTCTTGGGTCAAGTTAAGTTAAATCACTATTTGGTATAGAAATCATATAAAAATTGACATTGAGCATCAAAATCCCCCAAAAATCAACATTTCCAACCGAAACCAAATTGAAAAACATCACACAAGTTAATAGATTTTTAAGCTTCAATAATCATTGTCAAAAAAAATTTATTGAAAAACAATTTATGCGACAAATGAAATTTTTAATCAAAAAACCAAACTTCTGGTCACTGAATAGGCAACAAAATGAACAAAATTATAAAATGCTATGTCAATAAATTTATTTATTTCTGTGGATGTGCAACAATTCATGAATTTTATAGCTTTTTTGTATAAGCCGCAAAATATGAAAATTTTCAATCCGGCTATAAATACTTTTTCAGGTCAAAATGCTTAATGAATGCCAAAATAAATAATATAATGTTAACAATTCAACATGAAAAAATTGAAATAAAATCTCGAGAGAAATGTAAATTACTTTTCTTCGTTGGATGTCTCATGAGAAATTTAAAAATTCATCTCGCATTTATTTTGGATTAAAATGAGGTGAAAATGGAAATTGCTGAAAATTTTATGATGGATGAATAATTGAGTGATTAATGCGCATTTGTGTGATGTTGTTGGATTATTATGTATGAAAATGTTTGTAAACTTATAATTTTTTCCCCTTTTTTGAAGTAAACGGCAATTTTGAATGAAATTTTGAAATATGAATTTCAAATTAGCGTTGAAAATTAAAGTTCAACTAGTAGTAAGAATTTCAAATATTAAATAACCGTTAGAAACTCAAATTTTAATTATCCGTTAATATTTCAAATTTTCAATAACCGTTAAATTAAAAAATCTGTAAAATTATAAAAAGCTTCATAAATTACTATACAATCACAAACATGAATACTTAAAACCAGAGATCGAAGCCGATTTTTTCGGCTTAACTCAATTTTTGATTTTTTTGATAGAAAAAAGCCATTTGACACCCATTTTAAGTATTTAAATTGAACTTTACATGCTTTACTATGATTCTGTGAAATATTTTGTCAGCATGTAGCTATAGTGAGCTCAGAATTTCAATTTAGCCGATTTTAAGCCGATCGGCTTAAATTTCGGCTTAACATTCTTTAACTTGAAATTCTGAGCTTCCTATAGCTACATGCTGACAAAATATTACACAGAATCATAGTAAAGCATGTAAAGTTCAATTTAAATACTTGAAATGGGTGTCAAATGGCTTTTTTCTATCAAAAAAATCAAAAATTGAGTTAAGCCGAAAAAATCGGCTTCGATCTCTGCTTAAAACCAACATTTTACTCATAAAGCAAGTAGTATTCAGATGCCCTTATTTCACATGATGAAACACTGTCTGCTGGGATTATTTATCATTTTTTACACACAATTTATCTTCCTTATTGTAATCATCATTTACAATGCCGGATGATTAGTGGGTATAAATTTTTTGCGAGTAAATTTAATTTCCAGCTTAAATGAGCTGCTTTCACGAAATTTATTAAACAATTTTAATTTTAAATGATTAGATTGTTGACATGACGCTATATCCAATTATTCATTATTATGGGAATTAGACGAGAGAGAGAGAGATAGAGATAGAGAATTATTAGCAATTTATTCATTATGAAATTTTAATGAGTTTCTGTGTGTTAAAAATAAATTAAATTTTACCTAATTAATTTATATTCAATTATCTAATGAAAACCGACATAAATTGCCTGATTTAAAACTTTCTCATGTCTAGTTGCATTCTCATACTCAAACAAATTATTGTGCCACACATCAAACAGCACACACAAAGTCAAACAATTATGTAACCTTAATCTATGGTTATTCAATCATTTGAATGGCTTCATGGCATAATTAAGTATATTACAAATCCTCAAATCAGTTTCAAGTGTGATAAGTTGCAATCAAGATTTCTGACCTTTTGATTGTGCATTGTTTAAAGCCCAGGGTATGTTATGGTGTCGGTTATTAAGATTTATCAAATATTTAAAGTTTTCAGTTTTTTGTATTTACAGAAATTCAAATTTCCGACGGTTTTAAAAATATAAATTTCTAACGGTCATTTTAAATTTAAAATTATAATTTTTTTTATAATTTTAACGGTTATTATAAAAATTATATTTTTAAAACATTATTTTAAAATTTAAAATTTCTTACAATTACCTACTCAAGAATTTAATTTTTTTTAACGGTTGTCAAAAATTGAATTTATAGTTTCACAGATTAAATTCGGTTTTCAAGCATATGCAAAACAACAACCCCTAATCCTAATAAAAACAAGCAAGACTGCAATGGAATGTTATAAAGTTTATAATAAAACAAACATTTGTATTCATTGGAATGTCATATTAAGTTGCCATAGAGAAAAGAGTTGCATTTGATGGAATTTCATGCACAATGTAAAGGAATTCCGTTCTAAAATCATATGGTATGCCGTAGCTAGACAACATAGTATCTATGCCATTTCCATTAACAACAGCTTTTCTATGTAAACAAAAAAATTTCAAAAATTTTCATTTTAAAACCGTAACAAGCATTCAAATTTTATTTTTAAATAATTATTTTGTGGAATTAATAAAAGGAAATAATGAGCAAATATTTGAAGAATCTTCATAAGCCTTGTGACAAATTGGATAAATATGATAATGAGAAGTATATGAAGAATCCATTGCTAAAATTGAATATTGATGAGATTCGAAGTCATCGGAGGCAGTCGAGATATGAATTGAGTGCTATTAAAGTAAGGTTTAATCATGTTTTGATAATTGATAGAGATTTGGGTCAGTTTGGGTATCTAAGATGAATATGCTCTGGATATTGCATGATTTTTCAGAATCCACAACCTTTAAATTGAATTTAAGGGGCCGTTCACTTATTATGTTACGCAAAAAACGACTTTTTTCACCCCCCCTTGTAACAATATGTTACAACTCACTACCCCTCCCCCCCCCCCCCTGAACGTTCATAATTTATTTTATCATTAAAAAGGTGAAAAATTTAAAAAAAATGTTTGGTATGAATAAACAAATTTTTTTCGTGAACTTTTTTTAAGACGAACGACAGTTAGAATGTTACATACTTTTTGACCCCCCCCCCCCCTATGTTACATTTTGTTACAATTTTTAAATCCCCCCCCCCCCCCTCCCCCTTAAAATGCGAACGTAATAAGTGAACGGCCCCTAATTCAAATTTAATTCCAAAAATTTCAGTCAAAAGTCACAATATGCCGCAAGCCACCAGATCTAGAGGAAGAAGATAATGGACCACTGGTTGGTGTTCATCCCCACGTTTTTATCCACAAGCTACGCTTCTATGCACGCAATACACCCATTCCAAAAATGCAAAAATCTACCGAGCAAAAAATCATAAGCTATTCATCGAAACGACTACGTGACAGATATCCATCGATTGTAAATGAATATATGAGTGAAGTACATGATGAATATGATCGACTTATGAAAGCATTTAGCATGAATAAGCTATTGAAGCCATTACCGGATGATCTGGTGCCATCAAGAGATAATTTTCAATTTAAGAGACTTGGTAGGACCGAAAATTATGAGACATTCTTAAAGAATCGTGAGAGAATTAAGAGAAATTTGATGTTAATTTATCCGTTCATAAGATGCATTCATTATTATTCAAATATGGACTTTCCATCGACATTAATAGATTTCAAGAAATATCGAGCAATGGGTCAATTAGGTATTCATGACATACGTGATTTTACGAAGAAAGATTTAGCTGAGAATTCAGCATTTATCAAGAAAACTTGGTATCCAAAAATCATTAAAATTATAAAAAAGCATTATGGCAAGCAGTCACAATATCGATTGTCAAGAAAACAATGGGAGAAGGCATGGGACTGTGCAACAGGTCTCATAATTCGTGAAATAAATCTTCTTAAAATGCGCACAATTCAGCATCTTAATGAGGTCATTTTAAATCGTCATGAGATTCCGTTCCTTAAGATTATCGCAATTTGTGAGAATCAAATTGATTTATGTCCAACGATTGAGGAGATTTATGACATGTATCATGCCTTCATTGACATTATTAATGATGTTGGAAATAATTTAGACTCAATTGAGGCTCTCGTTCATCCCGATAGCTGTGATGGACAGAGGATGAACATTAAGGTTGAATTGAACAGTCGGATACTTAAGAACGCACATACAAAACTACAAGAATCTCTAGAGCTTTCGTATGCATCCATGGAAAATTATTTGAGTTCATTTCAGATGGAATTTTATGGATTGAGTTCAAATCAAGCCATGAATGAACTCAATGAATATTTAGAGACTGACAGGACAATTGATGAGTTTTTCGAGGAAGTTGTAAAGTATAAAAAGTTCATCGCTAAATTGAAGGTCATCGTTCAAAAGGAATACTTCAATGAAGCTATAATATCCCAGTCAGATGCCATCAGCTCATTGCGTCGAATGGGCGAAAGACTCGTCAAGAAAATCACTGACAAAATTGTCGAAAAGCACAGGGCTGATATTAAGAACATTTGTAATGAATACGAAGAGATTAAGAAGCGAGCTTTAGAAGTTCCATCATCGACTGAAGCTCTCTTTGAGACTGGCGAGTACTTGCTTCATGTCAAGAAAACAGTAATGGATCAACTCGGTGAACGTATCCGAAATTCTTTAAAATTGAGTGGAGAACTAATCGAATTGACAGAGATGGATCGACAACATAAAGAGCTACTGTGGCAGGCAGTGAATTGGCACAACAATTCATCACAGATTTTCGATCTCGGTGGATCGAATTTTGAGGCAATGAAGTATCAATTTGAAGAGAAGCTTGCTGTCGTATCAAAACAGAATCAAGAGAGATTGAAGGAACTGGCACCGAATTTGACAATAATTAATGACATGACTGAGTCTGACAAGCTCCACGAATACCACCGAGTCTTGCAGAAATTTACTGACGAGCTTGTGATTTTTGATGACAATGTCAAGTGGCTGAATAAGGAGGAATCGCTGTTTAAATTTCCAAAAACCAATTCGACGCTGCTTGAGGAAATGAAAGATTTTGTGATTCCATTTAAGCAGCTTGTTCATCTTTGTATTAAATGGTACAGGAAGTATGATGTGTGGATGGATGGTCGTTTTGAAGACTTGAGACCTTCGGATGTCCAAAATATCACTGAAAATTTCTTAAAGGAATTCCAAAAGTTCCAGAAATTCTATCGCAACAAAATCAAGTCAGACACAGAGAATCACGAATGCAGATTCAAAGGACAATTGGAGGATCCAGATATCGAGAAGCTTCCAGCACCATTGAAAATTGTCGCTCGAATGATTCAAACAATTAAAGACTTTAGGCATGGCGTGCATGTTGTGACAATTATGTGTAATGAAGCTCTTCGATCTCGTCATTGGGATGAAATGTCGCAAGTTGCTGGAATGAATTTAGAGCCAGATGCAGGCACAACTTTGAGAAAAATCATCAACTTAAATCTCAGTTGTCTCGATGAATGTGAAATCATATCAATTGGAGCCTGCAAGGAACTTCAGCTGCAACTTAATCTCGCTCAAATGATAAAGGAATGGAACAATGTTGAATTCTCATTGGGAACATTCAAAGCTACTGACATAACAATCCTCAAAAATGTTGAAGATGTTCAATCCCTCCTCGATGATCATCTCATCAAAACTTTATCTATGCGTGGCAGTGCATTTGTAAAACCGAGCGAGCAGGAGGTGAAGGAATGGTACGATAAACTTGTTCGTGTACAAACAACCATCGAGCAGTGGATTAAAGTTCAAACAAATTGGCTTCATTTGTTGCCAATTTTCTCGTCGAAAGATATCGTCACTCAAATGCCGGAGGAGGGACGACTGTTTAATCAAGTTGATCAAATTTATAAGCGGTACATGATGGTGAGTGAAAGTTGTTTTGGGATGGCATTTGTTTATGTTGATGGTAGCGAATGGATGAGATGGGATCAAGGGATTGTTATTGTTTGAGTCATTCATTGTCTGGCTGAAGAAGATTCTTTTTTTTGTTTAGATAAATAAAAGCTTAAAGAGTCATGTAATGTCTGAACTATGTAAAAGCATCTCGGATTCATTGAGTTTTTCTAGTTCAGGAAAATAAATAGCACCTGCTAAGATTTATAATTGTACATTTATCTCAATTTGAAATAATTGGATGTAGTTTTGTTTACATTTCCACCTAAAAAGTTTGGAGCCATATTTTACATTCATTATTTAGTTTTAAATAGATTTATTGATTATGGTTGTATAAAAAAAGTGTGAGCAAAGCTTCAGACATCAATTAACACTTTAATATTGGTCTATTTATCTTTAATTTCAACAATTTTTGATGAAAATATTTTAAAATTAATTTATTAAAAACGGCGTGAAAAATTCAAATCAAAGAATTAACAGTCAATTTTGTTCATTTTCTTCCTGTCTTGCTTTTAATCTTTTATCTATCAGATAATAAGTTTCAGTCATTACAATTTCCCTTGTTCCACACTTCCTTTATATTTATTAATATCTCATATCCAAAAATTTATTAATATTTCATTTCCGAAAATCGTAGGCAGTAACAAAAAAGCCGAACGTAATGGAAACAGCTTCACAACCAGGACTGCTCGAGGCAATGGAGAATGCCAATAGAATGATGGATAATATAAATGCAGGCGTAAATAATTATTTGGAGAAGAAGCGACTGTATTTCCCACGATTCTTCTTTCTTTCAAATGATGAGATGCTGGAGATTCTATCAGAAACAAAAGATCCATTGCGCGTGCAACCGCATCTTAATAAGTGCTTTGAGGGCATTAATAAGTTGAAATTCAATGAGTTATTGGAAGCCTTAGCAATGATAAGCATAGAGAAAGAAGAAGTTACATTTATAGATAAAATTTCAACAAAAGATGCACGTGGTAGTGTTGAGAAATGGCTTTTACAGACCGAAGAACAAATGCTGTTGGCTATAAGAAATGAAACTCAAAAAAGTATGGAGCATTACTCGCAAGCAAAACGTTCCGAATGGATGGTACGATGGCCTGGTATGGTTGTGCTCTGCGTCTCACAAATCTTTTGGTCAGCTGAGATTGAGAGGATATTTACAACGAAGCAAAGCATAAAGGATTATTTTGACATTTTACAGCAACAACTTGAGGAAACTGTCACCCTTATAAGAAGCAAGGACATAACAAATCTTTCCCGTATTACGATTCGTGCACTTATTGTGATTGATGTTCATGCTAAGGATGTTGTTGAGGATTTGAGAAAGCATAATACAGAAACGGAGAATGATTTTCAATGGCTAGCTCAATTGAGATATTACATGATTGATGATGCTGTACGGGTCAAAATAATCAATGCTAGTGTTCCTTATGCCTATGAATATTTGGGTAATTCAGATCGTTTGGTTATAACACCATTGACTGATCGCTGTTATCGGACATTAATGGGTGCTTATCAACTTCATTTGAATGGTGCCCCTGAAGGTATGTAGAATTAAGTATGATGCTGACTTAGTTTATGTAGATATTTGAGGCGCATTTGGATCTTAAAAGTTGATATTTTGAATTTCAAAAAACGTTAAAATTTTAATTTTTAAAAATCTTTAGATTTAAAAATTTGATATCTGTTAAAGTTTGAAATTAAAAAATCCCATTAAATTCAGTTCCAAACTGCTACAAACTCATCACATCTCCTTAAATTCATGCTAAACTCACTATAGACATGCTAATAAAACAGATTTCAACATTGATGGATTGATTGATTAATACAACACTCTTAATTATCGCTTTTAGGTCCAGCTGGCACCGGAAAAACCGAAACAACAAAAGATCTAGCAAAAGCATTAGCTGTACAATGTAAAGTTTTCAATTGTTCGGATGGTCTCGATTACAAATCAATGGGAAAATTTTTCAAAGGACTCGCATCTTCAGGCGCTTGGGCATGTTTCGATGAATTTAATCGCATTGAACTTGAAGTTCTTTCAGTAATTGCTCAACAAATTCTCTTAATTGTCCTGGCAATTAGAGGCAATTTCGAGACATTTAATTTCGAGGGATCTGAATTAAAACTTAATCCATCCTGTTATGTCTGCATAACAATGAATCCAGGCTATGCTGGCAGAAGTGAATTACCAGATAATTTGAAAGTTTTATTTCGTTCAATTGCAATGATGGTGCCAGATTATGCAATGATTGGAGAAATTTCCCTATACAGCTACGGTTTTGTGAATGCACGAACATTATCCATTAAAATTGTAACGACATACCGTTTATGCTCGGAGCAATTGAGTTCACAGAATCATTACGATTACGGTATGAGAGCGGTAAAGACTGTATTGCAAGCATGTGGAAATTTAAAGAAGCAGTTTCCTGACGAACGTGAAGATATTCTGCTGCTCCGGAGCTTATTGGATGTGAATTTACCGAAATTTCTATCATTTGACATTCCACTATTCAACGGTATTATTTCCGATTTATTTCCAAATGTCGCACTACCGGAAGCTGATTATCAACATTTAACGGAAGTTTTTAATGTCGTATGTGAGGAATTAAATCTCCAACCGAAAAAGGAATTTCTCATAAAAGTCATACAGACGTATGAGATGATGATTGTTCGTCACGGTTTCATGCTTGTTGGAGAGCCGTATTCAGGCAAAACAAGTACATTGCGTGTATTGGCTGAATGCTTAACAAGATTACATGAAATGTATCCCGATGAGAGTTCATACTATCAGAAAATCCAATGGGATACAATCAATCCAAAGTCAATAACATTGGGTGAATTGTATGGAGCTTTTGATCAAGTTACGTATGAGTGGATTGATGGCATTGCCGCTACAATGTTTCGTAATTTTGCAAATGATTCATCATTCGATAGAAAATGGATTGTATTTGATGGTCCGGTTGATGCTGTATGGATTGAGAATATGAATACGGTACTTGATGACAATAAAAAGCTTTGTTTAACATCCGGCGAAGTTATAACAATGTCAAATGAGATGTCGATGATTTTTGAGGTTATGGACTTGGCGCAGGCATCACCAGCGACGGTAAGTTTGATTTTGAAGCTCATTAAACTCGAAGTTTGAATATTTGATAACAGTTTTTGTTCTCCAAAAATCTCAGGTGTCACGCTGCGGCATGATTTACATGGAGGCATCATCAATAGGATGGGAAGCAATGACACAGTCTTGGCTAAACAAATGCAATCCAGTATGGTCGAATGACGAATACAAGCCAGTTATTATGGCAATATTACGCTGGATAATTCCCGATTGTTTAACATTCATACGAAAATATTGTCAACAATTTTTGAAGCCCGGCGACATTAACATTGTCATGACAACATTATCGATTTTCGAGATGCTATTGAATGATGCAGTTGATGAGAATCCTGATGAATATGCAAAATTTATCACATCATGGTTTCAAGCAGCCATTTCATATGCTGTCGTGTGGGGCTTAAGTGGCATCATGAATACGGAATCACGAATTAAATTTGATGAATTTTATCGTGAGGTAAAAAAAAAAGTTGGGAGATGAAAAGTTTGCCTCTTTATTTCCCTCTTTATGCTGTATACGATTATGTTCTTTATTGTACCGCAAAATGATTTATTGTTGACAGGTTTATCATAAATGAAAACGTCTTTTTTTTCATACATTATTACTGCATATATGTAAATTTATGTGCCTTTTCAACAATATTTTCTGATTGTAGGGGATATAATAGGAATAATCTGTCTTTGTTGCTTGCTTGTGCTTGTTTTTTTTTTAAGTTAGTGGGAGTTTTGGTGCTCGTTTATTGTTCTTGTCTATTGAGAATTTGAGGAATTAATTTTGAGAATTAAGAAAGGATTGAATTTTAAAGGCAGATAACTTAATAAATTGTAATTTGGATATTAGCAAGCCTTCAAATCGGTAAAATGAAAAAGCTGCACATTTGAATTGAAATCCAGGTTTCACTTTGGTATGAATCTGACTCCCTTAAATTAGAAAAGAATCTACATTAGATTCTAGCTTAGCTGATTCCATTTTATCACATCTTAATCTGGATTTACAACACTGTAAATTTCGATCAGAACTCGCAAGAAAATATTAATCGAAAGACAACAAAATATTTCTACTGAGAATCCCACACTGTATACACACAAACTCAAAAAAAAGCTTCATCATATCTTGTTTACTCATTCAGTATTTTTTCTCCTCCATTCTTTATTTCTTTCAATAAACAATAAATACAGATTTGGAATACACCCTTGCCTGGGGAAGTTGGAAAGATTGAAGTCTCAGTACCAACGGAAGGCTTAATCATTGATTATGTTTACATATTTAAACAGAAAGGCGTATGGAAATACTGGCCGGATCTCGTACGTAATATGAAAATTGAGACATTAGGTGTGTCAACAATGCAAGTTCCAACAATCGATACAGCACGCTATTCATATTTATTCAATTTACATTTCAAACATCAACGATCATTTCTTTTGACGGGTCCAACTGGCACTGGAAAATCGTTTTACATCCAAAACAACATGATGAAATTGCCAGAAGACAAATATGCTCCAATTTTTGTAACATTTACGACACAAATTACATCAAATCAGACGCAAGAGTTGATATTATCAAAGTTGATTAAGGGTGGAAAGAAAGGAAATTGTTTTGGACCGCCGGAAGGACGTAAATGTGTATTATTTATTGACGATATGAATATGCCAGCGAAGGACATTTATGGTGCACAGCCACCAATTGAGCTGATACGGCAATATTATGATAAGAAGCATTGGTACGACTCGAAAGATACATCAAAAATTTATTTACATGATATTCTCATTATTGCTGCATGTGGACTTGTTGGTGGTTCGAGGCAAGATGTCTATCCGCGCTTTTTATGTCATTTTAATATATTTGCTATCAATTTATTCTCGGACGAGACAAATTTTCGCATATTTCAAACATTATTATTAGACATGTATAAACGTAATGGACATGCGGCAGATGTTATCCAATCCTGTACAAATATTGTTAATGCAACAATTGACATCTATAATTTTGCCATAAATGAAATGCTTCCAACGCCATCGAAATCACATTATGTGTTCAATCTACGTGACATTTCACGTGTCGTCAATGGATGTGCATTACTGCGAAAGGAATCAACAGATTCGAAAAAAATGTTTACGAAAATCTGGTGTCATGAGACATCAAGAGTATTTTTCGATCGCTTAACAAATTTTGATGATAGACAGCAGGCATTCGTTAAAATCTCTCAATGCATTCGCGCTCATTTCAAGGATAAGATTGATGACATTTTTGATGACTTACTCGGCGATGACGATAGAAAATTGACATGCGAGAAAATGAATTCACTTCTATTTGGCAGCTATTTTGATATGGATGCAGAGGTTGATGAGAGAAAATATGAGATTGTAGCAAATGCCAATGCCCTCCGTGAGCTCGCTTATCAATGTCTCGAGGAATATAATGCGACACACAATGCAAAAATGGATATTGTCTTGTTTGATTATGCACTCCAGCATTTAAATAAGATTTGTCGTATCATCAGTATGCCCGGTGGTTCAGCATTACTCGTTGGCATGGGTGGATCGGGTAGACAGTCATTGACACGTCTTGCTGCTGCGATGTTAAATCAAAAACATTTTCAACCTGAAATAACGAAAAATTATGGACTAAATGAGTTTCGTGATGATCTTAAGATGATGTTGAAGGAAGCTGGTGGTGGTGGAAAAGATACAGTCTTTCAATTCACTGAAGGACAAATGAAAATGGAAGAGTTCCTTCAAGACATTGAATGTCTTCTTAATCTTGGTGAAGTACCAAATATATTTCAAATAGATGAGAAGCAAGAGGTTCTCGAAATGGTTAGATTGGCAGCTCAAGGTGGCAACCGTAATTTGGATATACCGCCACTTCAAGTCTTTCAATATTTCGTCAACAGATGTAAATTGAAGCTCCACTTAATCCTGTGCTTTAGTCCAATTGGATCATCATTTCGTACACGATTACGACATTATCCTTCACTTGTGAACTGCTGTACGATAGATTGGTATGATTCATGGCCCGAGACTGCACTCGAGATGGTTGCACAGAAATATGTAAAAGATGTGAACATTCTGGATGATACAAAAGAGAATGTTGTCAAGATATTCAAACATTTTCACATCAATGCACTCGAAATGTCTGACAAGTTTCACAGGGAAACGGGTCGCATTACATACTTCACATCAGCATCCTATCTTGAATTTATAAAATCATTTGCCATATTAATTGCGCGCAAACAAAAGGAAATGATGGATAATAAGGCACGTTATCTCATCGGTTTGGATCGATTGAAGGATGCAGCCGAGACAGTCGCACAAATGCAAATTGATTTGGAGGCAAAACAGCCGCAATTGAAGGTTTTAGCCGAGGAATCACGTCAAATGATGGAACAAATTGAAAAGGAATCAATTGAAGCGGAACTAGCATCGGAGCAAGTTAAACGTGATGAATTAGTTGCAAATAAGCAAGCAGCAGAATCATTGGCATTAAATGCTGAATGTGAAAAGGATTTGGCAAGTGCCATTCCAATTTTAGAGGATGCAATTCAGTCACTCAATACATTAAAGCCATCTGATATCACGTTAGTAAAATCAATGAAAAATCCACCCGATACAGTTAAGCTCGTTATGGCTGCTGTTTGTGTAATGAAATCCATTGCTCCAGATAAGATTCCTGATACATCAGGAAAGAAAATTTTAGATTATTGGGGACCATCAAAGCGCTTACTTGGCGATATGCAATTTCTGCAGACGTTAAAAGAATACGATAAGGATAATATCAAGCCTGAAATTATGGTGAAAATTCGTAAAGATTTCATACCACATAAAGATTTTAAGCCTGAAACTGTCGCAAAGGCATCAAGTGCTGCTGAGGGTTTGTGTAAATGGATTATTGCTATGGACTTGTATGATGCTGTTGCCAAAATTGTCGCACCGAAAAAGGCTAAATTGGAAGAGGCAAAAAGAAAGTATGAGGAGACGATGACATTGCTGACGGAAAAAAGGGAATTAGCAGCACAACTTGAGAATCGTGTCATAAAATTGAATAATGCTTTGGTAAGCTGAACTGATTTTTTTTTGTGAGGGTTAAATTGGTTTGTCAGGGGAATTTATGGTAATTGTGGCTGTGTGGCTTTTATGAGGATTATAGACTCGTGTGGTTTTGGGATTGTAGATGTTCATCTAGATTGTTTTGAACCTTTAGAGATTTTTATCAAATTTTCCTTGGGATATTTTACTTATGATGTCCAAGAGTCAAGTTAGAAGGGTCAAAAATTATATCACATCCACCTAATTAACTTCAAACAATTTCTATTCACAGGACGAAGCAATGCTCCGTCGTCAACAAGTCGAAGATGAAGTAGAAGTTTGCCGTAAGAAACTTGAAAGAGCTGAAACCCTTCTTGGAAGTCTTGGTGGTGAACGAGATCGTTGGATAAGCGCAGCTGGTGAACTTCAATTAATTTACGATTGCTTGCCTGGAGATATTTTAATATCATGTGGACTGATTGCATACTTATCTCCACTCACATCTGATTATCGAAATAAGTGTGTAAATGAGTGGCATAAAATGTGTTTGGATTTAGGTATTCCGCAATCAAAGGCTTTTAATTTTGTTTCCATTTTGGGATCGGAAATTAAAATACAGAATTGGAACATCGCAGGATTACCACATGACATATTCTCCATTGAGAATGCAATCATAATGGACAATTCAACTCGATATTCCTTATTTATTGATCCACAAAATCAAGCCAATAAATGGATTAAGGAAATGGAGCGTAAGAATGAGCTTGTTGTTGTTAAATTTACCCAAAGCGATTACATGAGGAAAATTGAATCATGTATTGAAGAAGGTAGGCCTGTTTTAATCGAAAACATATTGGAGGAGCTTGAAGCACCATTGGATCCAATTCTATCACGTCAAACATTCATGCAGGGAAATGCTGAGTTTATTAATTTGGGCGACAATGTCTTACAGATTTCATCAAAATTCCGTCTGTACATGACAACATCATTGCGCAATCCACACTACTTGCCCGAGATTTTTAATAAAGTCAGCATCATTAATTTTGCTCTGACACTTCAAGGCTTAGAGGATCAGCTATTGGGAATTGTTGTAGCAAAGGAGCGTCCCGATTTGCAGGAACTACGACAGAATTTAATCAGAGAAAAGTCAAAAAATCAACAAATGCTGAGGAAAATTGAGGACGATATATTACAGACATTATCAGAATCAGCTGGCGATATATTAGAAGACGAAACGGCAATAAAAATGCTCGACGGCTCAAAATCACTTGCAGTCGACATAAAATTAAAGCAAGAGGAGTCAATCGTGACGGAACAAAAATTGGAAAAGTTTCGTGAGAGCTATAAACATGTGGCAACACATGCGGCAACAATTTATTATTCCATAACTGACTTGCCAAATTTAGATCCCATGTATCAGTTCTCGCTTAGTTGGTATGTGAACTTGTATATTTTTAGCATCGAGAATGCTAGCAAATCCAAGCACATTGTTAAACGTCTGAAATTCCTCATTGATGCTGTCACAATTAATTTATACAACAATGTGTGTCGTTCCCTATTCGAAAAAGATAAAATTCTATTCTCATTCATCCTCACGACAAAAATTATGATATCAAATGAGCAATTGCGGATCAGTGATTTGGAATTTTTATTGTGTGGTCAACAGAGTGAAATGACAAAAATGAAAATGAACGGTGATGTTGAAAATCCAGATCCAAATTGGATAAGTGATAAAATATGGAATAGCATATTGCAATTGATGGATGTGAATGTAACATTAGAAAAATTTGTGAGAGGATTTCATGAAGACTTAATTGAATGGAAGAGAATTTATGACGATTTGAAGCCTGAAGAGATTATGATGCCAGGAAATTTAGAAACAATATTGACAGCATTCGAGAAGTTGCTGTTCATTAATGCAATTCGTCCTGATCGATTTATCGCTGCTGTTGTGGTTTTCATCGAACGTGTAATGGGAAAAACTTTTATCTCGCCACCTCCATTTGATATTTCAAAATCATTTGAGGATTCAAACTGTTTAACACCATTAATATTTATCCTCTCGCCTGGCGTTGATCCAATGCAGTCGATTCTCTCGTTTGCCGAGAAATTAAAGTTTGATGAGACATTCCAATATGTGTCTTTAGGACAGGGACAGGGTGAGAAAGCTCGTGTTATGATTGAGAAAGCACAACAGTCTGGCGGTTGGGTATGTCTACAAAATTGTCATTTAGCTGATTCGTGGATGCCAACACTCGAATATTTGTGGGAACATATGGACATGTTTAATACTGACTCAACATTCCGTTTGTGGTTAACATCATATCCATCGAAATGCTTTCCAACAGCCATTTTACAGAATGGCATTAAAATAACAAATGAACCGCCAACGGGTTTACAAAAAAATCTTTTGCGGTCTTATAATTCAGAGCCGATGAACGATGATGCCTTTTATTCTGGTATGTATTAGTTTTTGAGGATTACTTTTTTTGTTGGAGATTTTTTTTTTATTTTATGGCTGGTAAATGAAATGGTTGTGCTTAACACTTGTGGATGCTTACTTTTAACAAGATTAGACTTAATCTCAAGGTAGAGCTCTTTGTCGACTTGGTTATGTTGAAGGGGAGGGTTCATAAAAATAGAAGTAACATCCTTTCCAATAATGATAAATGACAAAGCTAAAAACTTCCTATTTCGATACCAATTTCCATTCATTGCTCATCCATATCTCTTCAACTTCCCTCAAAAAACACAATACTAATCCTTTTACAAAAATCTAATATTCTCAGGTTGTCCTGATAAGGATCGTGCATTTACTAAGCTCCTGTACGGAATATCCTTTTTCCATGCACTCGTTCAAGAGAGACGAAAATTCGGTGCACTCGGATGGAATATCCTTTATGGCTTTAATGAATCCGATTTTCAAATATCTGTCCAGCAACTGCAAATGTTTCTCAATCAATACGAGACAATACAGTATGATGCAATTGCATATCTAACTGGTGAATGTAATTACGGTGGACGTGTTACAGACACATGGGATAGACGAACAATAGTTACTCTCTTAAAAGATTTCGTTAATGAGAATGTCGTCCTCGATCCCGTCTATAAATTCTCAAATGTTGATAGTTCATATATTATTCCTCGTCGTACGGAGCATCGTGAAGTTGTCAAGCATATCAATGAGAAAATACCGAATGATCCAAGTCCGGAAATATTTGGTCTTCATACAAATGCCGGAATTATACGTGATTTGAATGCATCAAGAGATTTTATTAATGCCATGAATGGAACAATGACACAAGCTGGTGGATCACAACTGGCATCGAAGGAGGGCGAAAAGCTCATTATGAGCATGTTGAGTGACATAACAAGTCAACTTCCATCGAATTTCGATATTGAGAAAGCAAGCGAGAAATATCCAATTGATTATAACGAGTCGATGAACACGGTTCTTGTGCAGGAGATGGAAAGATTTAATAATTTATTAACAGAAATCAGACGAGGTTGTCGTGAACTTAAAGACGCACTTTTTGGCAAGATTGCCATGACGCCACATCACGAGGATATCATAACAGCATTTACAGTCAGAAAAATACCTGATGCATGGATGAAAAAATCATATCCAAGTTTGAAGAGTGTCGGTGCATACATCCGTGATTTCGTTGAACGATTGAAATTTCTTCAGACGTGGTATGAGGAAGGAAAGCCAAAATGTTTTTGGTTATCGGGATTCTATTTCACACAAGCTTTCCTGACTGGCGCTATGCAAAATTATGCTCGAAAATTTAAAATTCCAATTGATACACTGACGTTTGATTTCAGCATGCTGGATGTTTTTGATGGAAATTCGTGAGTATTTAAATTGCGTTTGCTTATGGATCTTCTGTGTCTCTGTGTACATTTTAATCTCTGCTTCATAATTGAAACTGAGTATGGAAACAACATGCTTAGTGAAAATTTTGTGGGAAATTTCCTCTACTAATGCTGAGCATGGCTACCTCCTCGGTTACATCACTAGACTCACAAAGAAAGACCAGAAACAATTCATCAAAAAATCGACTCCTCATGCCATGTCCAAATCATTTACATAAATCATTTATCAATTTCAATATTTTTTTCTCTTTCTCGATTTTAGAATCTCAGAACCACCGCCCGATGGTGTTTACATTTATGGATTATTTATTGAAGGTGCAAGATGGTGTACTAATGAGAAATCATTGTGTGAGCAGCTGCCAAAAGTCATTATTAATGACTTTCCATGTATTCATTTTCTGGTATGTGTTTAACTCATGTTTTCAATTTATTGAAATGAATTATCATCTTACGTGACCTTCTTTAATGGTATTTTCTTTCCCCCACATAGCCAATTCTTGGTAAGGACTTGAATGAAAGTTCGCGGTACAAGTCCCCGCTTTATAAGACAGCTGAACGCAAAGGAACTTTATCGACGACAGGTCATTCGACAAATTACGTTGTAGCTATTCTACTTAATACAAATACTGATCCTGAGCACTGGATTAAGCGTGGTGTTGCATTGCTATGTCAGAAAACTGAATAGAAATTGAAAAGAAATATTTTTTCATATTTTTATAATCCAAATAAAATTGGCGTGTGGAAATTAAATATGATTCTCGCAAATCTTTAATAAATTGCAGCTTTTTTTTTTGCTATGTACAGATGTCTTAATACTCTTGAAGATGCGGGATTATGAAAAGAGATGAGAAATATTTTTTGCATGAATAAAACTGCAGATTTTCAATCGAAAAAATATTTTCTTCTTGTCTTTTATTCAGTCATGAATAAAATACAAAAAAAATTGTAAAAATATTTTTCTTTCTGATCAACTTTCAATAATCTTTTGTGAAAGTCGATGAAAAGCATTTTTTGTTTGGGAGTCATTCGAAAATGACGTAAATTGATTATCGTTGATGATGTGATTTTAGGTAAAGAACAGAATTTCTTCTAGCTTCTAGCTTCTTTCTGTATTTGGCTATTGCTAAACCTGATTTTGGCTAGTAAAGTAGTGCAAACGTGTAATAGCACATGTGGAAATCTTCACCAGAGAGGATGTCATTGCTGGGACAGAAATAGAAGTTTGTTATACCGCGCTTGGATGGAATCCACAAGGGAAAAGACGTCAAGGAGCTCCAAAAACTACTTGGTGCAGAACAAGATGAAAGAATGTCAGCTCAATGTGCGGACAGAGAATATGTACAAACTAGGTGACAAGGCTGGCAATAGAGTCAAATGGAAAACCTTTTGTTGTAGCCTAAGCTCCACATAGGAACATGATTACAGTAAGTAAGTAAGTAATGGAAATCTTTCACTGAACATAAAGTAATCATAAGGACTTTCTCAGAGTTTTTGAGAAAATTTTCTATTTATTCTTAATTTTCCAGCATAACCTCAATTCTAATATGTCAGATTCTTAAGATAAAAGCTCAGAAATCCTGTTACAAATAAGAAAGATGACTCCCAGGACTTACACTACCACAACCTTCAAAAATACACGTCATTTATTGATTATTTCCCCACTTTTTATCGATATTCTTTCATGCTGTAAGTAAATCTTGATAGATATTACAATCAAATGAACATAAAATAAACACAGAAAATGTTAAAAGGAATAAGATGCAGTGGGTTTTTGGAATCTGATGGAAATTAAAGAAAACTTAAGCTTTTTGAAGAGTTGGTTTATTAGCAGCGGTTGAAGTTTGTTTGTAGGATAATAGAGCTTAATTGTGTTCGAATGTTTACTGCTCTGTCAATTTATGCATTGTAGGTGGAAACGTATTAATAGCTTATTTAATTGTGGATTATTCTGAAAAATTTGAGCACACTTGCAGTAGGATGTAAAAGACTTGAAGTGAATATTATATTAAAAGCAATTTCCCAACAAGTTCTTACTTTTAAAAGCTGAAACTACGTACTACGGCCGAAGTATACAGCAATAAAAGCTCAATTCTTATTAAGGCTTAGTTAAGGCAACAGGCTGCAATATAATCGACAATTCACTGTGCTGTCACTTTTAAGGTTCATACCTAAACTATACACGCATATACTTAAATTGATCCAATTTCACTTAATGTGATAATCGTATCCTAAAACAGCTCAGAACAAAAAAAAACTCAATATTCATTCAAACTTATTTCATCTCGCCTATTCTCGATTTAATCGTAAATTAATTCAAATAAATTTTATCGCTCATCAATAAATTCCAATATTCGCTGAACATTATCAAATTACCAAGCATAGCAAAAGCACATTCAATATGTATTGTAATATGAAGCCTATTGCTAATTTCTGATGGCAATAATGAAAATGTGAATACTTGAAAAGCAATTATGGTTTTTATGCTTGTTTCCTCCAAAAAACATATAAGTTTTAGAATTTGTATTAAATTGAAGGCTGTGAATTTTAAATGCTCATGTAAATTTTTTTGGTTGTGCTAATTCTGATGAATTGATAGGTATTTTTTTTTTTGTCAGAATACCAAGCTAATTTAAGAAAACAACAGTCGCACAAAGGATTCATCAGCAAGTTGGCATGCCAAATTGATTACAACAAATTGTCACACAAACGTTTCAAGATGGATCACTTAAGACAAAAAAAATGCTGTAATGTGCTGCTCGGGTAGCGTTCACAACGCTTTTCTATTCTAAGCTTCAGCATGTAAGCAGTTTTGTTCTCTTCCATTTCAGCAACAACTCCAAAACTATCATGAAATTTGAGCGTAATTTAAATACACGTATTTTCATGCATTGACATTTGAGATTGAAGGATGTGAATTTAGAGTAAAAAAATGTTAATAGCGGTTTAGATGAGGATAAAAATGTTCAATTCATTGATTCTTTTTGAGTTCTCATTTAATGCTGAAAACAATACAGCAGGCAACATCGATAGCAATGTAGATGAATTTTATAGTTTTATGTGAGCGAACGGCAGCAATAAAGGTTTTTGATTGATGAGCTGATTAATTAGTGGGAATGGAAGCAAATATCGATATCATTTGAATGCTGAATTAATGGCAATAATGCTTAAGTGGATGTACAGAATTAGAAAATAAAATGAGTTGAGATATACACGAAATGATTATAAATAATTGATGAAGAGCACCAGCATAATTAGTTCTATTAAGACTATTTTAATTTCTCTTTTCGGCATCGGTCTGCGTTGCCATTTATTGTCCTAATAAGATTTCCGAATAGTTTCCAATTTCTTTTTTATTGCTGATTTCTTCATTTTCTTTTCCTGCAAACTCTTTGAGTGTCCTCGAATTTCATCCATTCAAGTTTCAAAACATAAACCGTCAGATCTGTTCCTATTCATACTTCGCAAATACATTAAAAATATGATTTTCTTTCTCATCAAATTGTTAAGTTTTGGCGTTTCAAAGTCATTAAATTCAAGTTCTAAGATGTAAGAAGCAGATTATTGATTCATTGTGTCTAAATTCAGTTCTCTAAAGTTTAATCACTTAAATGCATTCTTTAATCACATCAAGTTTGTCTCATTTATTTGATTTTACTGAGCGAAATATATAAAATTTTGGATTTCGGCTACAAGAAGCTTTTGGGTTGAATGAATGTTTTATATGAATTTTGGGATTGAATCAATATTGTTTTCTTGGTATATTTATTTGATATAAGTTTTATATGGTTTTTATTTGAAATTTTAACTTAATGATTTAAGGACTTTCAAAGTTTTAGTTGACGATCTGATGTGCTGAAAATTCATTTAACTTTAAACGTGTCTTAAATGCTCATTCTTCTCTTAGATTCACTGTTTTAAGTGGCGCATTATGTGAATCAATATTGAGACATTTAAGGAACAGAAATTCATTTCTGATAAGCTACTTTACTCAATGCATTGATTCAAAAAAACTTGAAGCAAGACAATTTAATTTAACTGAATAAGAAATTGGATAAATTATGCAAAAACTGAAATCGAAGAATGAAAAAGATTTTTTGCTCCTTTTTATTGCAAATTGATTCAATTTTGAGTATGAAACTTTTTCTGCTCTCTTGATTTTCATCGCGGATGAGGTGGAACAACAACTGTGAATGTCAAGATAGAAACTTTTGCAATTGCAATTTTTGAAGATTGAAATTTTTTCAGGATTTTAACTTTGCTGAAAATGATTTTTTGGAATTGTTCAATTTATTTGTTGCTTTAAAATGATTTTTTATCTAAATTGGAAGCGTCTGGTATCTCTCATTGTTTACATAGCTAATGTTTTGGATTTAATACTCTTTAAGTTGATAATTTAAAACTATTTATCTTGAATTAAGTCACAATCTGACTGGTTCAAGATAAAACAATGTCAGCGGCCCAACACTAAGAATGTTGCACATAACTAAAGCTATTCCATATTCTTGCGCGTTTATAAATTCAGTTTTTAACAAATCAGGCTATTTCATGTCAATACATCTTATTTATTTGATTCCAGATTACAACTTTGTCTTCGGTCTAGAATTTATTGTTTAGTTCCAGATTTATTAAAAGAGGAATCGAGTGCAGCGCTTAGAAGATCCAGTTTCAAAACACTGAAATGCGGATTCATTCCTAGTTCTTCTTGAAAACATCAATAGTGTGATTGAACGTAAAATTCAGAAAAAAGTTAATAAAGGTAAAGGAATTGCTAAGCAAATTGATTGATTGCCAACAGCAAACAAAACTTTTTCATTTCGATTTCTTTCGATTTGAAAAAAGAATAAAAATTAACAAGAAATTCAATTAAAGGTGGAAAAGTAAATCAGCATCATTAACAAGCAGCAGCAACAACAACACAAGAAGTTTATGAATAAAATTGTGTAGGAATTGACGAAGAAGTGAATAAAAAAAAGAAATCTTTTCATTTTGAATTGCGAATCTCTGGAGGAAAATAAAAGCAAATGAGAGGATGGAAAAGTAGCTTAATGATGAAAAATTAAAAGACATTATTGAGAGTTGGCAACAATAATAATTAAAACATGGCAATAGAAGCAGAAGCAGCAAGAAGTATTGTGTGGAAATTTTTCCTAATTAACGTAAGTAAGCAGCAATTAATTATCATTACAAGTCATTCACTCATTTCTATTCGATTTAATGAGTTCAAATAAGGATGCTTGATGCTAAAGCTTTCATAATTCTGTGGAAATCTAGTGATAAATTCAGTTGAATGGAGTTCCTTCATTTATATCTGTGATGATGTGGGATTTAAGTCATGGATTGTTGATTTAGGTCGAATGTTGTGGGCTGTAGCCTTTCATGAATTTAAGGCTCGTAGCTAATTAATCTTAATCATCAGAACCAGTTTAACTCAAGTTTCTCGGAAATTCGATTTAGTCCAACTATTTTAAGCTTACGTGCAATCTCATGATTGCTCTTTACCCCAATTTCTGCTCAGAAACCACATCATGCACTCCTTCAAAGAACATCTCACATAATTTTCTAACTGGGATACAAATAAAGCAGCACAAGCCCCTTCAATTCTATGCTTAACATTTTCTAATCTTTAATTTCAAATCAGTTAAATGAAAATAATTTATTGAGCATTTTTGCTTGTTCTCTTAAGTGATTCATGCCAATGGTTTTCTGAGTTTCATGGGATATTCCGAAATGTTTATTGGCAGGTGAGAAATATTTTACAGCATAAACAGCAGCACAAGATTAATATTGCCATA